GTGTGTGTGTGTGTGTGTGTGTGTGTGTGTGTGTGTGTGTGTATGTGTGTGTACACATGAGACTAGGTATGCGTGCATGTAGAAGTCTGAGGATCCAGTTAGGCATCATTCTTTGGGCCCTCATGTAGCCAGAAATTTCTCTGTTCTGCCTATCCCCACAGTCCTGACAAATCTCTCCCACCCGAGTATCACAGCCACTTATAAAATAACTTTTATATTTATTTTGTAAGGGGCTTACAAACTGTTTGGTCTATGGCTCAGGTTCATTATTAACTATTTCTTACAACTTAACCCATTTCTATTAATCTATGTATCGCGGCATGTTCTGTGGCTTTACATCTTGCTTCCCAGGCAGTGACTAACAGCGTCTCCTCTGACTCCACCTTCTTCTCCTGTCTCTCTGCTTGGATTTCCCACCTGCCTATAACCTGTTTTTCCATAGGCCATAGCTTCTTTTTTTATTATTATTTATTTTCCAATGGTAGCAACACACATTCACAGTGTACAGAAAGACCATCCCACGGCACCCTATTACTCTTTCTTTTTTGAGACAGGACCTCTCACTGGCCTGGAAGTTGCATGGTATGCTAGGTTGGCTGGCCAGCAATCCCCAGGGATTTGCAAATCTGTTCTTCACTCGAACTTCTCATCTCTCTAACACTAAATTCTAGGAATCAATTACATGTTGGGTTGCAGGGGAAAAAAAGGACACAAGTTTTTTGTTGTTGTTATTGTTTTTCAAGACAGGGTTTCTCTGTGTAACAGCCCTGGCTGTCCTGGAACTCACTCTGCAGAACAGGCTGGCCTCGAACTCACAGAGATCTGACTGCCTCTGCCTTCAGAGTGCTGGGATTAAAGGCATGTGCCATCACCACCAGGCTTGACAAAAGTTATTTTTAAGGCTCAAAAATGGATCCTGTAGACTTTCAGGAAATGTGGGTAATATCATTCACTTCGCATGTCTCATTTCTAGCTGCCTTCTACCTATGAAGCCACACTGAAGCCTGGGACCCCAAAGACTCATACCGGTGCTTCCCAAACACCAAGCTAATTTTCCTGAGTCCTTAGGGATGCTGGAGTTAAGCTTTCATCTGGGGGAGGCTGCAGGATCCTTTCTGAGGGGCAGAGAGAGGGATAAAGCTCCACCTGTGGCTGATAGATACATCATGCTATGCATCAGGTACTGGCTACATCCTCAGACATGACCACATTTTCCAGTTCACGTGCTGAAACTAGTCAATGACCAGAGACAGAGCTGAAGAACAAAGAGGGACTTCTAAATTCTCAAGTTGCCAGTTTTAGACACAGTGAGACTCTCTAGAGTTCTGACCACACAATATTATTACAGAGGGAAAGAGCTCAGGACATAAAGACGGACTTCTCCACAAGAAATGAGACAATGTGGAGCAAGGGATGCTTTCAGCCATTGTCACGTGACACTGACCTTCAGATCTCCTAGAGTAGCCAGAGTAGGACTGGGGGACAGTTAGGAGTTGTTGGCATAGGAACTTAGTCCCATAACGCCTCGAGGCACCTGTAAATGGACACTGGTGCTCCTCAGCCTTCCCTTACTTCTGCTGCCCAGGCTCCATGCTGTCTTGCAAACACACCAGGCAGATGTGCTATTGCCTCAGACATCTGCACGTGCTGTTCTTTCTGTCAGGGCTGTTCTCCCACCAGACGTTCTCAAGGCTTGCTCCTTATCGGTCTCGAGTCTCCAGCCAAATCTTTTCTAAATTTGACCTTGTTGAAGATGGCTTCCCAGCTCCTGGGATTGAAGCATGAGAATGATCCCATTTAGAGGAACGATTTCCTTACCGCACCTGCCACCCTCTGATACACTGGGTTTTATTGGTTTCTCCGGCTTCCTGTTTCTACCATACTAGAGACTTTGTCCTGCGTGTTTCTTGATTGTTCTGGCTCATTTCACAAATGTAACATGATTGCTTGGTAACTGTTTACAGAATGAATGCGTGACCTCAGAAGGCTCCAGGCTTTTGAGAGAAGCTTTATCTTGGCTCAGTGCTGGCATTAGTTCAGGCAAAGAGTGCCTGATGGTTGTCAGCCTGAGGTCTGAGCTGCACTCGTGGCCTCTGCGTCCAGGCCAGGCATGTAAAGCCTCCAGAAGCCTGCAGCTGCCTATGAAGTGCAGTGGGAACCCATTTTACTGCTGAATCTGAAATATCACCAATAGGCTCGTGTTTTGAACATCTGGTCCCCATCTACTGTTGATATTTTGGAAATGGGGTCTGTCCTTTCAAGGTACCCTGTCCCTGTTCCTGGTCTAGCTCCCTGCCTCCTGTTCCAGGAGCATAGAGGCAGATCCACCTCTGCTACCAAGAATGCTATGGTGCCTTTCCAAAGCCAAGAGGAGGTGATACCCTGAACCCAAACCTCTTCCTCCCATAATTTATTTCTGTCAAGTGTTTTGTCACAGTAATACTCTAGACTCTACAGTCTAGAAGTGAGGAGCACTGAGGGCCACGGTGGGTAGTCCTTTTCCTGATGGGGAACAGCAGAACTTCCAGGGCCTCTATGAACCCATAGAAGACTAGAGAAGGACTTCTCAAAACCATCTCTACTTTAGCTAGCTTATACTTAGGAGTTTTTACATGACCCTGGGCCTATACATATATAGGTATACTATATTGAGTGTCTTCAGCATCTGTCAGAGCTGACAAATACTTTGACTTTATAATCATCAGTGCTAATGATGCTACATCACATATACAGATAGAGCAGATGGCAGAAATAAATCCGGGTCATTTCAGAAGCTGCTAGAAACCCCACTCTATTCTCCACTCAAAGTTCATTATTTCTTTAATGAAACTCAAGTCAACAATTCAAACAATAGTGATTATTTTACTATTTTTATTTTCATTTGTGTGTAGGTGGCTGTGTAAAACCAGTTATCAACCTGTGGGTCACGACCCCTTCACAGGGGTCACCTAAGACCATTGGAAAACACATTACAATTCATTACAGTAGCAATATTACAGTTATGAAGTAGCAATGAAAATAATCTTATGGCTGGGGGTCACTACAACATGAAGAACTATTAAATGAAGGGTAGGAGCATTAGGAAGGTGGAGAACCACTGTGGAACCACATGTGTCCAGATACCTATGGAGGCCTGAAGAGGGGCATGAATTGCGTACCTTGGTCTTGGAGCTACAAGAATCTAGGGGCTTCCCAACACGGATGCCAGAAACAGGAAGTGCTCTTAACCCCTGAGCCATCACTCCAGGCCCCTCGAACAACAGTTTTTAATGTCAAACATCAAGCACAATACAATTAAAAGATTTGATCTTGAGAAAATTTTGTCTTTGTTTCCCATCATTAAACCATTGCTTTTCTCTGGGAGCAGAAAGCTTTGTGTGTACAGTAGAAGCATTGTAGTTCATCACAGACAGTATTTCCCATTCTGAGCCTATGGGAGGCCCACTCCCACATTTTCCCCAGGTTACTCTTGAGGAGAAAGGGATGAGAAATATTTAGATAGAAAGACAGAGGGGAGAGAAACAGATAGAAACACAGAACAGCCTCAGGAAGGCCTGGATCAATATTCAGCAGCCCCTTCTGTCTCTTCCAAAGGGCTTTTAAAAGAAAAACAAAGGGGCAGAGCAAAAGACCTCCCCCTAGTACATCCAAATGCAGACCCTTCTAATTACCTGGTAACCACACACGTGGTCAAGCTATCTCTTAATGCAGCCCTGCTGGGTAAAGCAAGCTCAGATCTAACTAGGAAACCTCTGTGGGCCTCCACATAAGCCAAGGTGCTTCCATGTGGCGTTTGGTGACATTATGCATGTGGTTTGTTCTGAACCAAGGCTGCTGTGAAGGCGTGTGATATAACACAGGCAAGCACAGAATCTAAGCACACCGTGAACTTTGCTTTTGGTTACTTTTGGTAATTTTTGGTTACTGTGCATTCAGCTTTTACTGTTGCCAGACTTTTCCCCAGTCTGTACTTACTTTTATGATCTGATCCAGAGGAATGACCCACAGTATAAGAGGCTGGGCAATAAAGCAGATTTCACAGACCATCCATGAACTCACAGGACTAGTTCCTGGGACTCACACCCAGACCAGCATCTAGGCAAAGTACTCAGCCTGAATGAAGAGCTGAACTGGCAATGACCTGTTTGTCTAAGGAGGTGCAAGCTGGAAAGAGCACAGTGCATCTAACTGGAAAGGAACAGTGGCCTTCTGTAGCTCTCTGACGGCACTCACCAACCATCAGGTATTTGTAAAAGACCTAAGCAATGATCAGAGACTATACACAGGTAGCATGCTTTTTTGTACATTCAAATGCAGTGTTTTAACTTTGGGACCCACGTGTTACATTGCGCTGGACACAGGTTCAGAGACAAGGGTCTGTAACATGGTTCTTTCATGAAGCTCCTGCTCCGACTAAGCTGGCTTCAAGCTTAAATCCATAACTGCCTCCTGCAGACATGTTGGAGGGTTTCCAAATAGACTCCAGTAGCAAAGGGAAGTGTATCCTGACCTGTGTCTCCTCCTGGGCTTTCTTAGGCATGCTGCACAGACCCCACCCTCCCTTCAGAAGCACACTGATGACTCTGATACTGGGATGTAAACTCTGAAAGTGTTTTACTGCCCTGAAAGTAGAGGAAAGGACGGTGATAGAAGGGAGCCCGAGCAGTTGGAGCCGTCCGGGCACTGCTTGGAGCGATGACCTGCACTTCACACCCCTCTAAAGGCAATCAAAGACACAATGTGAAATTTGAATTTTAGTCACAGTAGACCAATTAGCAGCTCAAAATGGTGGAGCTTATAGTTTTTACTCCAAGTACACATTCTCACAGAGCAACCACCCTCAACTTAAGATGGTTCTTGCCCTGTTATAGTCCTGCTTTAGGGACACATAGCTGTGTTCCTGGGCTTGATACTGAAGCCCAACACAATGGTACTAGATTGCTATTCGGCATCCTGCAAGCACAGCCCAGCCTGAGGCCAAGGGGGAGCTGTTCTATGAGGCAGCTGTGATGAGGCTGACAAACCCGGTCCAGTGCCTGTTAACTTCCACATGACACTTATGGATGTTATCTCCGAGTTCCTGTGAGATAGCACAGGGAGGCATCATTGCCTCCATTTTAGAGTGTGGTTACACTCAGAGAAGAAGAGTGAACTGCATAGACCACTGTGGAGCACTGAGAAGGGGATCACCTTCTCCTGAGATCACTGTAGGAGTTCCTTTTGCCAGGTGCATGCTCTATTAGTTACTTTCATGCTGCTGTGACAAAAATACCCTGATAAAATAAAGGGAAATTATTCCAACTCAGTTTGGGGGAAGGCTCATTGTCACAGGAGAGTCACAGTGGTAGAATCTGGAAGCAGCTGGTCACACTACATCCTCTGTCCACAAGCTGAAAGACTAGAATGTTTCCCCTCAGCTCACTTTGTTCTTTTTATACTTGGGGGGGGGGTAGGACTCTACCTATGCAATGGTGGAGGTTACATTTAGGGTTGGTCTAGGTTACATTTAGGGTGAGTCTAGATAGAAACTCCTTCTATCCAAGAGGTTTGTTTCTATGGCAATTCTCTTTTTTTTCTTTATGATTTTTTTTTGTGTGTACATATATGTGTTCACATATGTGTGTGCCCATGTGTAAGGTCACAGGACAACTTGCAGGAGTCTGTTCTACCACATGGTTTCTGTGGATGGAAAATCCAGGTCCTCAGGTTTGGAGGCAAGTGCCTTTACCCACTGAGCCATCTCATGGCCCCCATGATCAAATTGACAATCAAAATCAGCCCTGGCACATGCACTTCCTTATTCTGTATCAATTTGAAAGGAATAGTCATTTCAGTATTTATTAAGTGCCAATCATATGCCAGGCACAGAAACTGGATTTTTGTTTTCAGAGAGGTGAGGGCCTGGCAGGTAACAGACAAGGTAATATATAAAAAACAAGGCATGGCAGATGGTGACGAGGACTAAGGAGCGTGAGAGATGGGGTTGGAGCGAGAGGAACTCATCAACATGACTGAAAATAAGATAAGCCCTCGGGCCTGTAGCTCGCTAGAGAAGTTCCAGGTGAGCACTTGACAAGTGTAAATGTCTGAGGGAGGATCTGTCTGTGTGCCTGAGGAATGATGGTTAACTAAACTTACACAGGAGGGAGAGATCATGGGATGAGAGCACAGACAGGAGACAGGAAAAGATGAAATGGGGAGAGACCCTAGAACTTGAAGATCATTTGAAGGATGCTGGCCTTCATCAGAGAAGCAGGGAGCTACTGGAGGTCCAGAGAAGGAAGTCTCTGAGTTTCACTGTATCACTCTGCTGTCATGTGGGAACAGACCGCAGGAGAAAAGCAAGGTATTTGCTCATTTATGCCAGTAGCCTGATATTCCTCAATTTCTTTAATAAAAAAATCATTGTGGTATAAATAAGAAAGAAAATACAGTTATGTATAAAGACCAAAGAGAGTCCAAGGTGTGAGGCTCCCTGGTGAGAGGAGAAGAGTGAACCAGGAGGGGGCAGAGGCATGCATAAAGCCCTGCGTGCCTCTGGAATTTTCCTAACATTCATCCAATATGAGACTATGCACCACAGAATATGTCCAGATTAGTCCCAAATGCCCAGAAATCAGAGGTTGTGGAGATTCAGGGGAAGACCACTCTATCCAGGCTAAGGAGTCTGAAGAAGATGAGTTTGGGGGTCCCCTGTGTTTTTTTCAGGGGCAAAGTCAGCATCTTCTGGGAATCTGCGGGGGCTTTGACGGGAGGAAGCACAGTGAGTGTCATATGTTGCTTAAGATAGATATCTCAACTTGAGAGCCACATTTGGCCACCATGGCATTTTCACTGCTGGTTTCCATGGAGATTCAGAAGAAACCATGGTTTTTCTCAAGTTAGGATACAGGGGTGGGGGGTGGAGAGAGGGGAGGAAGTGATAGTTCTCAGGGGTACTCCTTCAGGTTTTTGGTTTTTGGTTGTTGGTGGTTTTTCTTTTGTTTTTCAAAATCAGAGCGTCTTCCAAAACTGGACAAAGCTTTGGAGTCTGGAGATAGTGACGCAACAGCGGGAAGCCCTCTGGTAGGTCTCCCTGCCCCCACCCCTCCTCTGGGTGCCCAGGGTAGGAACTAAGGGTCCCTGCTCATTCATTGTCACAGTCCTATTCTTCCTCTTTAGTGGTGAAATATTTCTCTATACATATGTTTCTACTGAAAGTGGCAAATTAAAAGAAGCACGTGTTTTCCGTGAAATGGCATGGCTTTCTTCTTGGTGGAGAGGGGTGACGCTCGAGTCTTGGGCATGCTATAGTTGGGCCCAGTTTTCCTTTCGTGCAGCTGGTCTCCAGCATATGTGACAGTGAGCCACTGGCTTTGGGTCACCAAAGGCTTCGGTGGACACTTTAAGACCATGGAGTATGTAACTCACGAGTAGCACCCAGACCTTTCACAAAGCTGCTGAATGAGGAAGCAGCTGGGAATGCAGTCTGCGCTGAGAGGAGAGCTGGAGTGCTTCTGGCCTCCAGAGTGGCAGGGACTGTGGCTTCAGCACTGCCGGTGGAGGGGGCTGAGCCTCCCAAGTGGCTGCTGACTGTACCCCTTCCCTAGGTCACTTGAGTCCAGGCACTTCTGAGCTCCAGTCTCCTCCTCCCCGTGCCCCTGCTCTCCCCTCCCCGCCCCAGTGTCTTGTTGCCTCTTCCCTCTGTCTTCCGTCTCACTGTTCTGTGAATCCATGCAGAGAAGCTGCACCAGGGGTTTGAAAACTGCCTAGTCAGAGTTCTTTCTAAGAGCTCAAGAGTTGGAGGGTGTGGTTGCTTAGAAGGCAAGATGAAGGAGGGGACACAGCATTCGGGGTGGACTGACTTCCTTCTGGAGAGTGGAGGAAGAAATGAGCTTGGCCTCCCCTGAGACATCCCAAGCGGGATTCTGACTGAGAAATACCCAAAAGAGAAGGCAGTGTTTTTCCTGCACTTCCGGGGTTCCAAAACACTCCCCAAAGAGGATATTTTCCCACCTCAGCCCATGGGATGACAATCAGGGAAAGCAAGCAGTTTGAAGCCGCTTCTATCTGGTCCCCTGTGGTACACCCCTCTTCTGATGGATTCCTTTAAGTGATGTCTCAACAAAAGCACCCTGCTGCCCCACTTTACCTGATGAGTGTTGATTGTTGTGGTCAGACCTCTGAGCCTTCAGGCTTCTTACCTGAGTTCCTGGATCCCTGGCCATACCTACAGGTCTCTGTGGGTCCTGCATTGGCTCAGTGGGACAGGTATTCTCTCCACAAAGAAAGAAGTGAAAATCTCTTCTCTGCATCTCTAATTTATCATGAGGTTATTTGCTTCTTTCTGATGTTTCCATCCTGTGGTAGGTACAGACCACCAGGATGGGTTGGTGCCTTTAGAAAATCCAGCCTCGACACCAGCCTTCATTCCTGCCCCTACCCCCACCTCAGCCTAAGGCCCCTGACTGAAAACACCCCGAGAGCTTCGCCCGGTCTTGCTTTCCTCCGGTCCAGATACAGGGCTCCACCATTTCCTACAGGAGACTCACCTCCAATTTATCATCTGTGACATTTATAGTGGGAGATGAGGGTTATTGAGATTCTTGGGCCGGTAAATGGGGCTTTCCTGGCTCTAGCAACAACGTTCTAAGTCAATCAATACCCAAAAGATATCTAAGGATCAATAAAGCAGGAGTCACTGCTAGTCTTTGTGGAGACGCAGGGCACCTGAGGCAGGTAAGACGCTCGTTTAAAGGGGCATTCCTCACCAGTGATCTAGGACAGATGTTGGTCAGAAGTGGAGATGAAGTAAGAAGTCCGCGGCTCTCAGGGACAATAACAAATGGCTCTGGGGGAATCAGGCCAAGCCAGCCTGGCTCCCTATACCAACTCATTCTTTGTAAATAATAACTTTGTTGACATCCAAGTTATACACCAAGCAATTCACTTATTTCAAGTCTGCAATTTAACCGTTTTTGGCATATTCACAGTATATGACTCCATCACCATCCTCGATCTCAGGACACTTGCATCACTCCTTTGAAAACCCCCTTAGCGGTTGCTCTCTTTCCTCAGCCCTGGCCCCCTTTCTAGGTAGCCACTTTTTGTCTCTGTAGATATGCCGATTTGGAATGGTTCATACAAATGGAATCATATGTCACACAGTCCTTTGCGGTTGACTTCTGTGACTTAATAGAATGTTGTCAAAGTCACAGCAGGCATTAAGGGCATTATGGCCTTTGACCTGGTCACACAGCTCTAACCATTCATGTAGTCAACATTTACTGAGCACCTTTGGTGCACTGGGCTAAAGGGTACTTGGTCCAAAAGTAATGAATGTACATTCTTGTAAAGACTACAACCCAACTGCTAAATGTGACATGGGAGAATCAGGCAATGATTTGGAGCATGAATATATTGTAAGGAGAGAGACATGTTACAAATGTGCTGTGCACAGAACAATGTCGATAATTGTAAGACTCCTTATGAAGATATGGGCTCTGGAAGGATATAATGATAATGTTGATACACACACAAATCCATCCTCTTTCCCTTGCATACTGTCTTTGAGTGATAATAGCATGACTGTCTGTGAAATTGTTAGGCATTTCATTCATCTCAATTTTACCTAATGAAGGATACAAGAGCCCACATCCAGGCTGATGGGAAATCACGGCTTCCACATTGATGTTTTCTTCGTTTTTCCATGAAGAGGCTTCCAGGTCCCACAAGAAAAGAAAACCATGCCCCTCCTTCCCTAAAGGCTTCATGCAAGACACTGTTCCCTTCTCAACATCATCCCGACTCCTTCTTGCACCTCTAGGCTGTTCTACGTTTGTTCATGTTGTCATCTGTCTGGAAAATGTGGCCTTGCATCTGTCTCATTCCTTAGATTGCAGATTCCCAGCCACTGGGCCTCCACCCTCTTTGAATGCTGTTAGAACGAAGTAATTGGAAGGATAGGATCAGCCTGGCTCTGCAGAGGTGCAAAGAATGCCACACCCAGCAGCAACTGACCTCACCGCAGCTTGAGAGGGGGATGCGATGGCAGCTGCCTGGATGGGGGTGGTGTCCCCAGGGAGCACTTGCCCTCTCCTCGCCTTGTCTGAGATGCCAGCGAGTTGCCCAAGCAGGGAGAAGACAAGATCCCTTGGCAGGCTTCCTGGCCTTGTTTATGAAAGGGAAAGTCATCTTTATTACATTTCATTTAGAAGGGGGGTTATAAGAGCTTCATCTGGTGCTCACTTCAGAGCAGCTGTTCAGCATTACCCAGGAGAAAGACAAGTGACTGGAGCCTCTGCCTCATGCCAGAGAATCTGAACAAATAGACTCAATGGCGTCTCTTGTGACAGGCAGAGTTCCTGAAGCTAGGAGGGTCCTTCCAAATCCTCTAAGTCTAAGGCACAATATCCCAAATACACACACACACACACACACACACACACACACACACACACACACACACACACTTTGCACTGGGATTTCATTTAGTTAGTAGTTCTTTGTTGGTTCTGATTCTGAGTCTGGTCCAGGAGTGAGCTCAGAGGTGAGACTGACAGGACCTGCCAGGTTGCTGTGGATTTTCCGCTCCAAGAGAGGGCTCAGGGCAGAAGTTTAGTTGCCAAAGCCAGATCCAGGTCCTGGATAACTTAAGCACCAGAGGAATGTCTTGGATTCAAAGGGGCACCCCCAGAGTTCACGGGGAGGTGGGCAGGCAAGACTGGAGAAGCTGACTGGAACCAGGTGAGATTGGGCGACAGGGAAAACAGCCCAGATAAGCAGCCGCAGGAATGGCTTTCTGGATGTGATCGCTGGGCCTTTCTTTGGCTGCCTTGGGTATTTTCTCAGCTCTAAATGCGTGCACCTCTTTCCAGTTTCAACATACTGAGTTCAAGTAATTGATTGGCCAAATCCAGGTCACCTGCCTGCTCTCCAGCTGGAACACAAGCAGAGCTAGCTGGTTCCCAGGCACGAGGACAAGGCCAGACAAAGCTTCTCCTTCACTCCCTCTCAGAGCTAATCATTGCAGAAGGTGGGTGTGATCTCAGTGTGTAGGGCTTCTCACCAGCAAGCAAGCAGCCACCTCTGCAGCAGATAGCTGCTGGGTATCCTCCAGTCCCACTTGGGCTGACACCATCTTCTGGCATCAGAGTCATAGGTTGAGGGCTGTGAGCACAAGACTGCCCCTGATCCTGTTTGTAACTCAGATGCCAATCACAATCCTCAGGATATTTTTCTCTCTTGCTTGTGACCTACTGGAAGGATTCCCATGGCATGCCACTGGCTTACAGAATACAGGTTAACAGGTTTGCTCATTCATTGGGAAGGGTGCTTTCTAAGACATTGTTGTATGACACAATTCCTGGAGAGATGTGAACAAGTCATCCCAGACAGGGAACTGGTAAGAGAGCAAAGTAGCAGTCCCACAAAGCCCAGCTTGGTCAGTCAGTGAGTTTGCTGTGGTTATTTCCAGGAGAATGAAGGAGAGATTTCTTATGGTAGATGACTCAACAGAGGTGGCATCACTGAACTCCCATCCTGTCATGAGCTACAATTCATGAAAACTGGACCCTTGGAGCTCTCTGCATAACTTAAAGTCATCTTGATGGATCATAGAATCCTCCCCAAGCAGGTCAGTGGGCCAAAGTACCCCCCTTCGGCAGCTGTTTACTGCTTCTGAAGCCTTGGGAAGAGGCCTTGAGACCCTTGTAACTTTCAGCTTTCCCAGACTAAGGAAGTTCATTTTATTTCCTGAGTGTCAAGATCCTCCTTCCAGGATGGAATATTTCAGCCGAGGAAATCGCTATGCAGGGCTCGCTTCCTCTGGCTCTGAGGTTCATTTCACTCTCTCTACCATGATACTCAACCTTGGAGAGGGTGACATAGACGCCCTTCTATGGCTGAGCATTGGGCTCCGGTGCCACAGCAACTGTCACTTGTTCTCAGAGGCTTCCCTGATGATTGTGCATCTCTGTGGCACACCATCCATTACATTTCCTTCCATGGCTCGTTGCTGCCGACAATAACAGTTATCTACTGTCCTAAGCACAAATGTTTAGAAGGCAGTTTGAGGTGCATCATAC